TTGACCCAATAGTCAGCTCGACATGGATAGCACCTCGGGTATCGGAAGGGTTGCCAGCAAAGTCCCTAAGCACCATGTCAGTTTTCAACAATTCTTCATTAGTCATCCCAAGCTTTCTGAAGGTAGTATAAGGCATGATATTGATAGCAGCCCCTCCATCAACAAACATCTTAGTTAAAGGCTTGCCATTGACATATCCCTTTAAATAGAGTGGTCTCAAGTGACGATTCTTGATTGGTTTGTCAAAAACAGCCTGCTGTGTTAATACAAGCTGGGCCATCAAATCCTGACATTCACTTTCATCAAAATCGAGTACACCTCTTCTTGGACATCTTGGCTTTCGGAGCTATAAACTCGATGGGAGGAAGAAAGCCATGCAAGCATCACCAAAGGACCACATTCATCAGCTTCTTCTTAGGGGCGCCATATTTGCTTTGTTTCGGTAACTTCTGTTTCAACTCCCTATTCCTCAACCGTTGAACTCTTCTTTTCCGACTTTTCCTCGTGCCTAGAGGACACCACTGTCGTCCTTTTGCCATACGTATCTATAGGAATCAGCTTCTTCATCATGCACTCTATCATGAATCCAACCTTGACCTACAAATCTCTTCCTTTCTTTGATTCTCAAAATCATCTGCTTTTTAAGCGCCGATCATCTTCGAGGAACCTTCATTCCAAGTCTTTCATAGAGGCGGACGGCGGTTGACTCGAGATTGCCTATACTCGAGTATCTTGAGCACTACACTCCGGACAATTATTTCTAGCAGGTAACCTCAAACCTTCATTCCAACAATGCCTAAAGAATGAACAACCCCAATGAGACTGCTCTGATTCATCATGTATTCTTCTTGCTCCCTTCGGTATACCTCTTCCTCATACCTCCGGCATTCTTCCATAAACCATTGCTTCTTATAGTATTCCTTCTCTTGCTCTCTCTGCCACTTGTTTAGCAAAATACGTGATGTAACTCGGGTTTGGAAGTTTGACCTTTCTCGGTTCGGCTATTCTCGAAACCCGAACTCGTTCTTTGAAACTCTCTCTTCGTGACTTGCCGATCCGGGTCAACAGCACCATTTTTCTTTGCTCTATCAGAAGTCAACACCTTCATCTTGCCTTTACCTTTGAGATCATTGGCAGAGACCATATTCACAGAGAAAGAAATCATATTTTGTGGAAAAGGCTGATCATCAATTTTCATCTTGCCATCAAACCTCAAATGTCCCTCTTGGATAGCTTTCTGGATTCGTATTCTGAACACTCAGCAATCATTGATAGAGTGAGAATTAGTGTTATGGAAACCACAATACTTTTTATCTTTCACTCCCTCAGGACGTAGCATGGGATGTCCTTCTGGCAACTTGATGCGTCCTTCCTTCATCAATAACGCAAAAAAGCACATGCGCTTTAGTAACATCAAAATCATAGGTTCCCTTTTGTTGTTTCAACCAGCGTTGACTAATTTGAGTAGGCTCCTTTGCCCAATTCAACTCAGCTGCAGCTATCTCATCTTCATCAATATACTCAGTCGCTTCCTCCAGAAAACCTTGATACACCTCATTAGTGGCATTGTTCTTCTGAAAGCGATTATCTCTCCTGAATCCTTGGGCCTGATTACTCATAGCTGCTAAACGCTGTGCAAGTTGGCCAAGATCATCAAACTCCATGCCGAACAACTTCTCCTTGATATTCGGCAACATTCCTGCTATAGCTATTCCAGGTAGTTGATCATCTGGTAAATTCAGAGAATAACACATATTCTTGGTCTCCCTAAATCTGCGAAGATATTCCAATGGTGTCTCATTTGTTCTCATCCTCAGACTCATGAGATCGACCAACTTCTTCTCATTAGTACCCGTGTAGAAATATGAATGAAACTTCTGCTCTAGCTCTGCCCACGTACCAATGGAATGAGCTGGTAAAGACGTGAACCACGTGAAAGCTGGTCCTGTAAGAGACAAAGGAAAATATCGAATCCTCCAAGCTTCATCTGAAGCAGCTTCTCCAAGCTGCATTAAGTACCGACTGACGTGCTCTATGGTACTAGTATCATCTTGACCAGAAAACTTAGTCAAATCCGTTGGAGGCTTCACCCTTGGAGGTAACGCCACTCTGTTGTACCACTCTGGGTAAGGAGACTTGTATGAATAGGATTGATTTTTTGGCTTCAAGCCGAACTGATTCTGCATCATATCAGCCATCCTGTGCATCAAAACATCAATGCCTGAATCCTGATTTCCTTGTACTTGTACTCCAGAAGGCAATCCTGAAACACTCCTATACCCTAGATTTGGCACAGCATTGATAGCATTGTAATCAGTAAATTCTTGATACCCATCTCCATACATATTCTTCTGCAATCTGTTTGATGCTGGAGAAACTCTATAAGCTGAAGGTGGTACTTCTCTGTGGTACCAAATGTTACACAGCCATAGGTGGGATGTGATTGCTTTCGAGTGTGAGTCAATCCACCTATATTTGCAGTCGATGGTCCTTCTTTTCCAGCAAGCTTCTCTTGATGCTTTGGAACATTGAAAAGTGTCGGTCCACTGAGTGAGCCAACATTTTCTTCAAAGTACTTATCAACCATTGGACCAAAAGTACTGATCATGATTGCCCGAAAGGTATTCGTAAAAAGTCGTGATGGTTTGTCATGGTTTCTCCCATAGCTTTATAAACCAAGGCTGCCATCTTCTGAGCATCCTCCTCTTCAGTGTAATCAGTTTGATGTGGAAGTAGAACCCTTGGCATTGACTGCTTTTGAAACACTTTATTGCTCTTGTTTTTAGAAAAAGACATCAAACACTTCCGTTGGTATTGCTCACATGCTTGTAGCACTAAATCCCTGTAATTATCTGGCAATTCTGCCATGCTCACATCCAGAACATGATCATTGTTGATCTCGGGCGCCATCTTGAACTAACAGATTGTCCCACCGGCGTGCCAAAAGTGTGTTGACACAAATGTGACGACTTGCGCCCCACACAACAAGCCGGAAAGCGTAGCTTCAATTGGGTGCCCGGGTGCTTTGTGATCCGGAAGCGTGCGATCGGTTTGACTCGAAAAAAAACTAACAAGGGATAAAACAGTTAAATGCCAAACCGGAACATGTCGGGTGAGACCAAACAGTTCCATATATACGGCCCTGAAGCCACTTACAACGACATACAGCTATAGGAAGCTATCTGCCAGCAAGTTTATAAACCATTCGGCTAACCGTAAGATGAGCATACGTAAAGATCCAATTGCCGAATGCATGTGCATGGGAAGACATGTTTGAACAAGTGAAATTAATCATGAGTTAATGCATAACCAAGCTCGGCAATCCAGCCGAGTTGGGGTCCATGAAGAAGGAACGTGCAAATAAACACGATTAAACTAATCTAAAACCTGCATGTGCCGCACGACACCTAGTTTCGTCAAAGCTTAAACGTAATTAACATGCATGAACCCACGACATGTGACAATCTAGATTAAAATAATTCAGCCATTACGAGCATGTTATCTATTTGCAAAGGTAATACGAAAGTAATGATCATTGAAGCACGAATAAAACCATAAGAGAGGGCCGAACAATATCAATCTAGATTGGGCAGAAGTGTGTTACAAATATATAAAATATTTAAAACATGCAACATAGGATAACTTAATGAATCTATTTAGATTTTGCCGTATCTAATAGAGCCGATAACTATCTTGCCTTCACTAAGCATATTGAGCAAACGCCTGCCGCACGGTATCTACTCATAAACAAAGCATAAGCAAAGACTTCTTGCTTGTCAAACAAAGATCCGCCGCACGATCATTGAAAACAAACAAGACTACTTGCATCACGTCTAAATCCACCGCATGATACTAAACATGATAACAAGGTTGTCGGAACTTACGGAGGTCGACGGATCGATGACTCCTCTCGAAGAACTCGACGACACGACAAAAGGACTCGAAAGTTGGCACGGGGCCGGTTGTATTGATTTGGTTGTGAACCCCCTTTACAATGGTCGAGGGTCAATATTTATACCCTAGACAAAACACGAGTCCTAAAAGACTACGATTTACAAAGGAACTCTTAAACAAACTTAGAAACTACGATTCCTTGCCCTAAACTCTCAGAGTCCTTTATTATTACAACTTTCATCTTTTCGATCGGCTTTGCTCGCCCATCTTCTGCTTTCCCAAATGGAGTCACCACCTTACGAAGTAACCAACCGCACAAGTATTTAGCCGACCGCTTTCGTTTTGTTTGCGAATGTCCTTCTTCACAGTATGCGAGTCCACATCATCTTCCGAAGTCGACCAAAATCCAGTGTTAACAAGTACACGACCCTAGACGTGCAACGACACTATCCTAGACAGGCGAACAAGTGATCAGTGAGCACTGACCACTGAGCAACTTTCTTCTACACGTGCTCTTCGATAGGAAAGACATGCTTCTATGGCGGCGGAGCATCCCGTCGCCGGGCGACCACGCCCACCCGCGGGTCGGCGTCTAAAGTACATGTAGTCCAAGCACCGGCGATAGTCCACCACGAGGCACCTGCAGTGCTGTGTGACGACCCACACAGCGACAGCGCCCAACTGAAGCTGCAGGTTGGCCATCACCACCACCCTCCGCGCCGCCTCCTCCATCGCGCACGCCACCGCGCTCCGCATTGCCGTTGCCGCGCTTCCCTCCATGCCGTGCCACCCGACCGTGCAAGCACGAGCACCGCACCTGCGCGAAGCCCATGACCACGAACCACATGCCACGGAGCAGCACCGACGCCGACCGCACCACCGCCACGGCGAAGCTCCTCTGCGGGGCGGCGGCCGGCGGCGGTGGTGACGAGGATGCCGCCACCACCAGCTGCAGCAGCCAGTGGTAGTGGCTCTCGAGGCCGGCGAATAGCTCCTGCCCGAACACCGACGCGGCCCCCCGGCAACCCCCCCGGCCCGGCGGGCGTGGCGGTCGCATCGTCACAGCGCCGGGAGGAGACGTCGGCGGCGAGCGCCACCGACGCCGCCTACACAGCTAGGTGGAGGTACATGGTGGCGTGCTCGAGGCTGTCCGGCTGGAGGCGCAGCACAGGATGCGGAGAGTCCACGAGCTGGTCGACGATGGCGCGAGCACGGAGAAGGAGAGCATGAGGTAGAGCTCCAGGTGCCTCGGCCGGCAACGATGGGAATGGGAACCAGGTAGCGGAGCGGAAGCCGGAGGCGCCCCTGAGCTTGTAGCCCTTGACGGTGTTCAGCGTGTGCCACACGCCGAGGATGGCGAAGGCCAGGCCGGGGAGGAAGGTGCCCATGGCTTAAAACTTGGCTCGTACGCCATGCTGGTCGCTTGGTGTTCGATCGTGTTCGTTCTGATGGCTTAAATAGATCATGGTGTCGGTCACTCACTCACTTCCATTGCCATTGTTATTAGGATTTAAGGACATGTTAAGGAGGCACAGCATGCAGCAGGCTGGTTTGGACTTGATCCACTTTAGGGGAAAGTCGGAAAGATGCACAGGCCGGCTAGTGCTGGCTTGCATGGAAAAGATCAAAAGTCGCTGCGAGCAATCTGGGTCAACTTCAGGTGTCTTGTTTTGCCATGTATCTTAGATTTATCATATCATTGCCAGCAAGGAAAATTGGTGCATAAAATCAAATAAAGCTTTTAATTTCTCAGGTGACATGCTACTGAAAAGAGAATCAGGCTCTGTTCGTTTCCCTGAAATTTGATGGACGTTAAGAGACGCCCGTATGACATATTCACCGGTGCTTTGCTACATTGCTCCATCAAACTGTAAACTTGTCATTTGGTGGGTTTTCTTTTGGTGGGTGTGGCGGCTCCGATCAACCTCGTTCAACGAGCTCTGATCCCCACCTTCTTTATTTGTATGTGCTGTGCGACAGGGGCCCACCAACCAGTTAGGGTTGGGCGCCCCCGATCAGGGCGTAGAGGCAAGGGCCCAATAGGCTGTTGGGCCTATTGGTGGAGATCAACTAACATTCTCCCCCTTGATCTCATTCCATCTTTTAATTTCATATCATTTACTTTTGTTCATTCCATTACAGATTAGTGCATAGAGCATGTCTCATCGTCACGATCCATTGCCGATAGACTTAACAGCTACAACACAGCTACTCTGTTCTGAAATAGATACTTATATTTGGGCCTTCTTTTGTCCAGGAATTTTAGGCTTTTCCTTAAACCCATGTTAGCTACATGTTCTCTGAACACCATGTTCTCTGAACATGTTGGGTGGTAAGCCTTTTGTAAGTGGATCCGCGAGCATCATTTCTGTTCTTATATGCTCAAGACTTATGACTTGATCCTGGACTTTATCTTTCACAACATAATACTCTATATCAATGTATTTGGCATCACCACTTGACTTATGTTGTGAGCATCCTTTATTGCCAGATTATAATCGCAGTATAACCTTAGTGGTCTATAGATGTCGTCAACTACCTTCAAACCGGGTATGAACTTCTTTAGCCAGTTCACCTGCCCGTTGCCTCATAACACGCTACAAACTGTCATACATTGTGGACGATGTAGTGACAGTTTGCATTGAGCTTTTCCATGAAATAACTCCCCTTTGTGAGATGATAGAAAATCCACGCCTGGATATGCATTCACTCTCGCATAATCAGAATCTGAATATCCCACCATGTGGAGTGAATCAGATCTTCTATATGTCATCATGAGGCCTTTCGTTCCTTGCAAATAATGCAAGACTTTCTTTACTAATTTCAGTGTTCTATTCTAGAATTCCTCTGGAATCTGCCAAGTAAAACCCGGTAACAAATGCCAAGTCAGGGCGTGTACATACTTGAGCATGTTGCAAACTTCCGACAGCTGAAGTATATGGAACCACTTTCACTTTATCGATTGAGCTCATATTGGTTCCTGGGGCATTGAAAATCCCCATATCTATCGCCCTTGACTATAGGAGCAGGTGAGGGACTACATTTGTGTATACTGAATTCCTTTAAGATCTTTTTCATGTATGCCTTTTATGACAGTCCTTATACCCTTTTCTTCTATCTCGTTGAATCTCGATCCCTAGAACGAATGAGGCTTCGCCAAGATCTTTCATATCAAATTTCTTTATCTCCAGTAGTAGACTGACATCACTAGTAGCAAGTAAGATATCATCTACATACAGGACAAGGAAGATAAACTTCCCATTCTTAAACTTTGTATTGACACAATTGTCCTCTACATTCTCTTTACTTTGTATAGACACAATTGTCCTCTACATTCTCTTTAAAACCCAAAATTCTTTATTGTCTGATCAAACTTCAAGTACCACTGTCTTGAAGCTTGTTTTAATCCATAAATGGATTTCTTTAGGCGACATCACATTAGTTCTTTTCCTTCCATGACAAAACCTTTCGGTTGTGCCATGTAAATATTTTCCTCAAGTCTCCGTTTGAAATGCCGTCTTTACATCCATTTGATGTAATTCTCAATCGTAATGTGCCACTAATGCCATTATGATTCTGAAGAAAACTTTACATGAGACTGGAGAAAAGGTCTCATTGTAATCAATCCCTTCTCTTTGCATATAGCCTTTTGCCATAAGTCACGCTTTATATTTCTCTATATTCCCTTGAGAGCCAAATTTTGTTCTGTAGACCTATTTATAGCCTACTGTTTTGGCTCATTTAGGAATTATTTCCAAGTCCCAAACTTTATTGGCATTCATTGATTTCATTTCATCTTCCATGGCCTCAAGCCACTTTGATGAATGATCACTTCTCATGGCTTCTTCAAATGAGGTGCGATCATCCTCCATTTGAAATTTCTTAGTGTTGTACACTTCATAATCAGCAGGAATAGCTAATTTACTAACTTTTTCAGATCTTCTAGGGGCCTCCATATTTGGCACATCTTCTGTTTGAGGCTGTTGTTGCTCCCCCTCATGTGTGACAATATGTTCTTTAGGATCCTGAAGAACAGGTTCCTCATCGTCATTCATTGTTGCCACAGGTGGGATAACAACAGGTGCTGGCACCACAGTATCTAGTACTGTCGGTGCAGCGACAACAGGTAGTGAGAAAAATGACTCATGAATCATTGGAGCGGGCGCATACACCCGCTTCATTTCAAGGTCAATTTCTCGAGCTACCATGCTCCCTCTCATCAATTCATCCTCTAGGAAGACAGCGTGTCTCGTTTTCACAAACTTTGTATGTCACTCTAGATAGTAGAAACGAAAATCTTTTGACTTTTCTTTGTAGGCAAAAAATGGCAACTTACTGTTTTGGGATATAACTTCCCAATATTTGGGTTAAATACTTTAGCCTCAATGAGGCTCCCCACACACACGCATAGTGGTTTAGTGAGGTACTCTTTACATCCACAACTCATACTGACATTTTGGGCACCGACTTTCATGATACTTTATTGAGAATATGAATGGCCGTTTTCAGCGCCTCCATCCACGAGGCTCAAGCTGTAAGGTGGAGTAACTTATCATCTTGCCCATCATATCCATCAGAGTGCGATTGATTCTTTTAGCTACTCTATTATGTTGAGGTTCGTTCGGTATAGAATACTGGGCTACTATGCCATTCTTTTAGGGTATGCCGATCGTAGTACTCCCTCACGGTCAGACCTGACTATCTTCATCTTTAATATCTTAAATTTATTCAATGCTTCAGTTCTTTCTTTGATTGGATAAATTTAGCCATAATGGGAGTAATCATTTGTGAAGAATGTTATGAGCGAATCATAACCATCCACACTATTTATAGGAAAGTCGACCACGGATATGCGTGTGAATAATCTGTAGAATTCCTACGTTTCATTTGTCATCATTCTTAATTCTTCTTTACATACTTTCCTTTTATGCATTCCCTATATTGTTCTTAATCTGAGAGCTCTAATGGAGGAAGAATATCATTCTTAACTTGTCTTTCTATTCTCCCCTCGAAATATGGCCTGAACGATAGTGTCATAATTTCGACAACGTATCGTGAGCTCTCTTATACCACCATTTCCAGATTAACTTTTCGTCACCGGTGCTTTATCACCGTGTGGCATATCTTCTGAAGAGCCGATTGAACTGACTCTTTATTCTATCGAGGTACTTTCGGTGACCATGTCACACTGCTGGGATTGAGCCCACAATTGTAGGTTCAATCATGTTCTTTATCACATGACCAAATATTTCTTGTTGGCGTTGACCCACTTTCTATGCTCAAAAGTCATAGAACATCTTTTGGGATTCAAAATCCCTTTCTTTAGTTGCCCAAGCGGCATCATTCTCTTTTGTCTCCCTCACCGGTGCCATAGAATCAGTGGGACACGATGAGGTGACTACCCAGTTCACCTTAAACAAGATGAAAATCAGGTCAAATCTTTTCTTAACATAAAATTAACACCATTTGCATGCCTTGATTCCAACGTTGGTCAAAATCAAAACATACAACTATTCTTATACACTAATTCTACATCACCGTTGGGCAGAAATAGAATTAATGCATAAATCTTTAACTTTCACAACTGTTCTTACACACTAATGCTACATCACCGTTGGACGAAGTAGAATTAATGCATAAATCATTAAAATTAACATCTGTTCTTATACACTAATTCTACATCACCGTTGGTAAATAGAATTAATGCATAAATCATTAAAATTATCAACTTTTCTTATACACTAATTCTACATCACCGTTGAAGCGAAGTAGAATTAATGCATAAATCATTAAAATTATGATAATGTTATTAACAACGTTGGTGGAAAATAACAACATCATAATCATGTCAAATCTCTTTTTCTCCAATTAAATACCACATTGGTTCAAAATAACTAGAGAGAATCAACATTTTCTTTAGCAAATGGAAAAAATCTCTTTTCTCCAATTAAATACCACATTGGTACAAATTAAGCGGAGAATAAACAATTTCTCTAGGCTGTGGAAAAACTTCTCCTTTTCTTGAATTTTACCCATCGGAAAATTGTATTTTCTATTTCCTTTAATCCATTAATCAATTTACTGAAATAAACATTTCTTTGGAAAAACTTTTCTTTTCTCCAGTTTTAAATACCTTTGCATATTTTCTTTAAGCCTTTTATCCATTTTCGGAAATAAAACCTTTCTTTGAAAATAAAAACGAAAAATATGACTCAAATGTTTCACTTGTTCTTCTTTACCAAAAGCGGCAAAGGCGGCCCATTGCCCACGCGATGGCGCTTCACAGGCTTTGGCTCGGAATTGACCTAGCGCTTTCCCGCACCTTTGAAGTGGCGCCCGATGAATCTCGCCCGTCCGTCGATCGGACGGTCGTATGTTGTGAGATAGG